TTTTTTTTTAACTGTACGACAATAAATATTACTGATGCAAAAGTTTTCTGATTCTATTTGCTGAAAATTATACACTTTAATCTATTAATGGCAATTCAAGCAGACATTAGTTTCACTCAGTTCCTTAAAATGACACAAAGTAGAATCACTATGAAAATAGATGATTAAAATCAATGTGGATGAACTAAAAGAAAGCTTTGACCAAAAGTTACATTTGTGACACAGTCCAGCTTCGGCATTTTTGGCGCAGCTACATCAAATTTAAGCGAATGCAACACAAAGACGCGCTTCTCTAATCAGTCATATGATGAGCTGACTGCATACCTATAGGGAACAGGCCACTGCTGTCGTCCGTCAGCCCGCAACTGAGCAACAACATGAAGGGAAAGGAGCAGCTTCACGCACACGCAGACCTCCCAGCGGGACATGTCGCAGCCGGATAGATAAACCTAAAATAAGGGGAAAGTTACGGCGATTGTTTTCACATGATTCTTCCTCTGTAAGCTGACTTCCTTCTCCGCGGAGTCACGTGGGTTTGTTGATGAGACGTAATCGCATGACGTCACTAAAACCGGAAAAGAAAATAAACTTAATTGATTATTTAGGATATTATGAAGTAGCTGAACAGTACGGAGCCCTCATTTTTCTTTTGCGTTCCCTCGCAATAATCTACTGATCAGTTCATGCGGCATAATTGAATACTGTAAGCCTTTTTTACGGTGGCCGCCGTACTCTCTGCTTTAATACAAGCTTATAAGGGTTTTCCATGGACTATTGAGTTATTATCGCCGGGTAATAAGCCATCTGATTGTGTATCTATTGTGTTCGTAGTCTGAATGGTTTAAATGGCTGCTTTCAGTGCCGTTCCGTCTTAGCCTTAACAGACATAAACATGCAGCAAATAAATCGATTTTCAATCAGTTTTTTTGCACCAAAGCGCAACAGTTTTGCGAGGGAACGCAAAAGAAAAAAAAAAAAAAAAAAAAAAACCCTCGGGGGTGGTATTTAAGATTGAAAAT